CTTACTTCTTTTGATGTCTGACATGGTTCAGAATGTGCTACCATCGTGGAGAAAGGGGAGGATGAAGTTTACCACAAAAGGTGCAGATCACTGGTTCGCCACGTTAACTTAGTTATCATGATTTCCATCCATCCCTTGGCGCCAAACCGATAGCGGCACGCTGTCTATTCACCACCAGTCACAAAGTCCCACCGCCGGCAACGAGCTGAATCGCTCCATGTGGTCGGAGAGCGACTCCATGTTCAAACAAGGTAGTAGAACACATAACAAAAACACAATCTATTTTACAACTCAAATTTGTACAGATGACTTGGTTCCAACACTACTCCCGAGCGACGAGCTGTACCCGTGTCCTGACGAATTGGTCGAGTGCCCGCCGTACGAGCCCACTTCATCATGCACCTCGGCAGCAGCGTGCCACGCCGATCCACTGCTTGCAAGGGGGCTCTTTGCTTGCAAGGACGCCATGAACGTTTCGAACGTACCAAGGGCCTGGTTTGTGTTCAAGGCAGGATGATGGAGGTCCGCCAAATCGTTGGGTGAGTCCGGGAGATTGGTACGGTGCGGCTGCGACGATGGATCGTGGAAGCTCGGTCCTATGCCAATGCCATCATGGTCGTCGTTGACAACAGTACGGTGATGGCGCTTCACAATCGCAATTGTGACGACGACGCAAACCACCATACCCATGACAACGAACCCCAGAGTCTCAATAACAGACGAACCGGACGATGGCAACGCATTGGAACTGGTGATGGTGTCAGAGGTGGCCTTAGTAGCCACTGGAGATTGAACGGCAGTACCAGCCAAGGAGTTAAGTTGCGCGCCACCTTGAGAAGTTGACGGCGCAGATGATTCGACAACAGAGCCGCCCATGACACTTCCACTGCTGCCTCCGCTTTGCATTCCTGACAACGATAAACTACTCGCAGAAGGCGCAGTCGTTCCTGCTTGGGCATTCTTGGACGGGGTTGGTTTTGGGGCAACAAAGGATCTCGTGGACAACGGAGGCGATGTTGGTTTTACCGATGGAACCATCGATGGACGATCCGATGGTGACGGTGTGGACGGGGCGGGCTGCGAAGTCGACGGCGACGAAGGTGAATTCGTTGGTGGAGATGGAGTTGGCGGTGGTACTGGTGAATCCGTCACAGGAGTACTTGACGGTGTTGGGGGGGATGGTGTCAGAGGTTGCTGGGTTGGCAGTGAACTTGTAGGCTCTGTGGTAGGAGGGGGCGTCACCGGTGCGTCTGTACGAGGTGCACTTATCGCGGCGACTACGCCTGTCGTGAGGGGAGAATCTGACAAGCCAGGCTGAGGCGTAGGTGAATTCGTTCCAACGTCGAGGAGCGATTGCGCCTGAGCGGCAGGAACTGATGCCAGCGATGCGAGGCAGGTTGCGGCAATCACCAAGCCCTTCACTATCATGGGGTCAATGCAAATCGGAAAATAGCAGGCATCCAACGCGTGCGTTATGGGGCTCACATCGTGAACAGATACTATATGTCTGATACTCGCATATGCTCCTCGGACCGTTCGACGTCCCACGTCCATCGTTGCTAATGATGACTGGAACAAGAGATACGTGCATGACCACCAGATATTCAAAACAATGACTGACTTGATTGGATATGGGTCTTCGATTTCAACCAATCATCACGGGATCGGTCAACGTCTGCCCAAACTCAAGTCAAATCAGAGTAATGAAATCAGTTTTCATGGCCGCATCTTGGCCTTTTCCCGTTGTCCAGTGCTGCTAACATTCCTCGGGTATGTACACTACATTACCCCTGCGTGAACTGCCCGTTACTTCAGAACGGTGTTTGGTGGAATGGATGGTTGCATGGTATGTCGTCGACAGATGGGAATGCTTGGCACCAGAAGTGATGCCGTTGCAATGTATATGGTTCAAGAGTGTTGTTGACGTAGGCTCGAATGCACAGCGTTCCAAACACGCTCTGGAATGGTTGTGCCGGCTTTTGTAATTGCTTCATAGCTCGTATCCACCCGCCAAATATCGTCGAGGGAAAGCAGCATCAATATCCGTCGACAGACGCAAGTACAGACAGACCACGGCCTGATTTGAACAAGGATGTCACGCTGAACGAGTGTTTCTCAAGATCGTCCATCCACACATTAAATTTCTCAAGAGTTATCGTCCAACATTTGTTGTAACCAATCCCAATCACGTATGCAATATGGTGCAAAATTCAAATGCATTTTATTGGCTAAAATTAGCTTCAAATTCCGTGTCCTTTGCACCAACAACAATTCGGTTGTCAATGTGCTGACGTGGAGATTATTTGTTTGCTCGTTTGTAGACTGGTGGTAGGAGAACGGCAGCCCAAGCTCAGCTAAAGCAACATCTGCAACTTCTTTACATTGACCCCTGCACGCAGGGGGCATGGACCGCATTATCCATTTTGTAGCGCAACAAACCAAGTTTCCGGTTACGAACGGCTCTCCTTTATGAACGTCCAACATCCACTCAAGATCCAACAAAACTGGACAACGAAAGCGCGAATCTCAACCCAAAGTTTGAATTACTGTCAACAAATCCCCACACATGAAAACCAAGTGGGGAACGGACAAAGTGAACGCGTTCACCTCGCTTGTCTCAAATGTTGTCGTTTCCTAGCACGAGTTGCAACCACATCCATTGCCACACAGAGCTAGTATTTTAACTCCTCATTTTGGATGATCGACGGACATGTTTCGCCGTTCGTTTGAGGCAGGGAGGTTGATTACTCTGGAGGCTTGAAAAACGCCTGCACGTCAGGTTGATCCAACAGGGACGCAAGAAGTCTTTCAGCATGGATTCGCGGCCCCTCGGCGCCGAGTTGGGCCAGCAAATACAGCTCAGGACTTAGTCCTACTTCGAGCAAGTGGTGGCGCATCCCTTGGGTCTGAACCAAGTGCTCAATGCATGAAATGGCTTGGACCTTGTGAATGTCACTTGCATCGCCGTTGCCCAGCGTTTGAACGACGGCTCTGCAGAAGCTGCTGCACACACTTTGGACGTCGTCGTTCTCGGTATTTTTACCCAGCTCCATCACAATTGCCGTGACCAGCTCGCGCTCGGTGAGGGTGCCTTGGCATGCCAACTTTGCCAAGCCATTCACACCATTGCGCTCCAATGGGTTTTTGGCGACGAGCAGATCTTTGATCATGTCGAGGCCTGCCTCGACGAAAGCGCTGGACTTGCGTCGCAACCAACTCGATCGACGGCCCGTGGGTGACCCCGACGTCGTTAACGAGGGCTCGTGCGAAAGAGTCAAGTATGTCGACGCTCGCGTGAGAGGAGCCGCCGCTCCGGCGGTGGTCGCTGTCGGCTTGGGCACAGGCTGCTCCATCAATGCCACGAGAGTGTCGTGGTATGCAGGGACGAGAGCAATAAACGTGAAGCAATCCAAGGCAAACGTGACGTCGAGGGAGGTTCCATGCCACAGCGACCGCATGAGTTGCAAGAGGAGATCTTTGACAACGGCAGCAAGCTCAGCTTTCACCGGATGGGTATCTGGAAGTGGTAGGACATTCGTAAACGCGAGTAGCATGTGCAGCGCATTCCGCTGCTCTATAGGCGACGCTCTTGTTCGCGCCGTGGACACTAGTTTGTCCGCAATGTCGATTTGATGGTGGTCCAAGAACAAACTGAACACGAGGAGCAAGGACACACTCGATTCTCCAAGTGTGGGATCTCGACACGCTTGGCGAAGTAGTGGTACGACACCGCTGAGTTTGATGAGCAGCTCCATGGAGACCTTATCGTGGCGCGCATCATACAACTCTTGAATCGTGCCGGAGACTTCATCGACCGTTCCACTGAGAAGATGTCGAATATGATCTTGCATCATGTCGGATGAAAGGGACACAGTGGCGCGCTTGGGGACTGGCTCTGCATGCTGGACGTCTTCTCGCGGCAAAGATCGCGCAGACGGGCGGCCAGCCGTGGAGAAGGCAGTCGTTAGGTTCTTCTGCGACACAGCCGTCGACCGTGGCTGTCGGATCATGCTTGGAGACTGAAAAACGAGCTTGAAACCGAACGGAGGGGTTTCACCTCTTTGACTAGTTTAATTGGCCAAAATTGAGTTTTTGCGCAAACCGATTGGTGGAGTTTCTACATAATACATTCGTTTCGACCAATCCAAATCATATACTTAAAGTTCAAAAGTCCATATGTCACTGACCTGCGAGGAATTGACGACGGTCAACAGCCGATCTCAGCGTCGCAATGGAGAAGACCACGACCGGCGACACCCGCGGCAATGGTAAGTTCCGTCAGCTAGCAATCTCTCATTTGGCTGTAGATGCAGTCTGCGCCGTGTGCGAGATCGAGTATGTGACTGTGATTTGCAAGGAGTGCAGGATTGTGTTCTGCCATAGCTGCTTCGACCGACTCCACCTTCACACTCCCGCTGTTCAGCACCACCACAAAGTTGTTGGTACGGTGCCTTGACTGCTATGATGCCCTTGGCTACACATTTGCATGCGTGTGTCTAGCTCAGGGTACATCGTCCGAGACGTGTGTGCCACTTCCAACGTCATCCACGGCAACCAAGTCTCAACTTGCAATTCCATCCTCTGGTGATGTGAACGGAAGAGAGCTCAACTTTCGGGCTCCTTTTTTACGACCACACCCTCTGCGCATTCCGACGATTACCCCAGGCACCGACTCTGGCTTGCGGGACAACGACAATGACGACTCCCCAAGGAAAGTCCCACGAAGTCACCACGACACGAGCATTCCATCGGCATGTGTCATCCTGGGGTCGGGTGGGTCAGCGCGAACGCGCAACATAACCCCGGTATCCTCAGCTACATCTCGTCACTCCCCATTGATCACTTTCAACACGTCGCCGAATGCTGCCAACAATGCGAGGCCGATTCTGAACCCGCCGGTGGCGCCATCGAAAGCATCCGACACACTCCAACAAGCTGAGTCATCTCAGTTGTCGATGCAAGCCCTTCCGGCCATCATGACCCATCTTCCCCACGATCCATTACAACAGCAACAATTCCTTCCAACCATGCCATTGTCCTCAGCACATGGTGCAGCCGCCGCCATCGTCAATGACGATGGCGGCGCAGACCATACGCTGGAAGATCTGTTCTTCGACCGGTTCAACAGCGTAAACGACCAAGTCGACTGTCTGGAGGCTCAGCTCGCTGACGCCGTGACGCAAGCCATGTCGTCGACGACCACGGCGGCTCGCATTCATATTACGCGCCAGCACCTCCAAGTGATGAACGAGGAGCGACTGCAAGCCCTGTCAAAAGTCATTGTGCATTCACCGGATCTGCTCCAACGCAACCGTGGCTTGCCATCAGCCAACGTCCAAAATGTCCCAGAGTTGTGGACACGCTCTTTCCAAAAGCTCAAAGCGATGGCTACGCATCTGAAAACCGCGCAGTCCAACATGGTGGAATTGCACGGGCTTGTGGTCGAATGCGAAGGTCGGGTCGAGATGGATAAGAAGCTCCGCACGCTCCACGAAGCGATGGAAAACATGCGGCGGTACATTGCCTCGTTGCGGAGCAATCGTCACAACGAGTGCATAGCATTGCTGTCGTGCTGCGAGCCGTTGCGCCGTCGAGTCGACGACGAGCTCAACGAACAGCAACGAAGAGGATTAATCAGCTAACCTCTAACCAGCCCTTGGAGTTGTTGCTGTCGTTGTGTGTCGTGCATACACACAAAATGCAGCGACAGTTGCGGGCAAACGAATTGTGGCCCACAATTTATTGCTAGCGATCAACTTGTAATGACAACGAGCATGGTAGGCTTGCATAAAAGTTGAAGTCATGCCACCACGTCAACCTCTTTCAAAACGACTTTGCACAGTGCCGTGTGGTTTGGCATCACCGCCGTGGAGCTATCGTGCCACGTGCCTGAATGGATTTTGCACGTTGTTGGACGCAAGGACTACGGTGGCACGTTTTTGACATGCCGGGTCCCTCGTCGCCGACCGGTGCCTTTCGTCCGCAAGATTTGAAAATCAATGGACTTCGCCATAGCACCAGCTATTTTATGACGAGCATCGCGATGCACTCCAGGTGCCTTGGGTCAATGTAGTAAATATAGGAGGCTGCCTTCAACACCGGTTACGACTTTGGTCGTTTCATGGTCAGTTGGAGAGGCGGTGTTCGCGGGCGACAGCATGTCAAACGGCACAACCGTGGGCGGCACCACAGCCGCGTCGTCGTTGGTGGCGACAGCCTCCAACAAACTCAATCGTGAGCTCCTTCGATGGCTGCAGAGCCTTGACCTAGCGTATTCGCTCAAGAACATCAAACGGTTCGTGGTGTGTGTGTCGTAGCCTACTTCTCGAGTCCCCCCAGTCATCAACAGATTGTGCTCGCAGGGACTTCTCCAATGGGTTCCTCATTGCCGAGATCATGTCACGGTACTACGACAAGGACATCTCGATGCATTCGTTCGACAACGGCATCGGCCTCAAGGTCAAAAAGGACAACTGGGACCAGCTGCTCAAGTTTATGCAAAAGATCCCCGAATTTGATCCACTTGGCGGCAAACCCGCCGCCGATGCGGTCATGCACTGCGAAAACGGCGCTGCCGTCACATACCTCGGCAGGTTGTACCAGTGCTTGACCAAGCGCGAGCTACAGACGGTACGCATGAGCAGCTAGTCCCCCGTTTGGCGCGGCACCGAGCATCTCACACGTGTCCGTGGCAGGTCCAACCTCGCCCTGTCGAAGAAGACATCCCACCGTATGCGAAACCCACCGGGTCGACACTCATCCGTGAAAAGATGCGAGGCCCCGAATTCGTTGAAACTCTGGACGAGCTCCAGATCGGACAAAAAGCTCGCACGGTCAACGCTCGTCATGAAGAGTCACTACAGCTCGAGCGGCTTGCGGAAAGCGGCCCGACGTCGCTGGAGCCTGCCAAAATGGTAGCCCAACGAGATAACTCACACTCACTTACTTATATAAACGGCAGGTGCGGCCGCGCAAGCAAAAGCTTGTGGGGGAAGAGTCACCAATCTGTACGCATGCAGTCGTCAAAGAAGTGCAAATCAAGACGATCGATGACAAGAATTTCAACCTCGCGCAACTTCGCGCGATGCGGGATGCAAACGCGTCCATGCTTCAGTCGGGGCAGGCCGAGTATGGTTACGGCATCGACCAGCTCGACTTGGACGGTGCTCCAGAAAAAGGCAGCGTCAAGCGCCGCGTGATGGACTTGCTCAACGAGTACATCTCGCGAAAGTTGACAGGGACGCCTGTGCTGAGCCAACTGGACGGGCGAAAAGACCGGTTCGAGGGTTTTCTCGAGGCCATGTGGGCCGGTGGGGTTCTTCACGACCAGGACGCCGCCGGCGTGCTAGAGCACGTTGTCGATCCTGGTGGCGTTCTCGCCGGGGCGCTGATGGACTCTCCCAAGGATTTTGCCAAGGTGTATGCGTAAGCTTGGCCCTCGAGCCTTGAAACTCACGACGCCATCGGCCATGTAGTTCGCTGGCATGTTGCATCCCTGCTTGAACGACTATGGCGATGACAACCCGATCTTCCTCGCCACGGTTCACATGCACACGACATTGGGGGCGCAAGCGGTGAAGCGAGTATGAGTGCATTCATTGAGCGCAACCAAGTTGTTGATGCGTGTTTTGATGTGGCGCAGGATGCCAACGCGGCTGCCATGCTCTTGTCCGACTTTGCGCTCCCTCGACTTGCATCGTTAATCACAACGTGGCCGTCGAAGCGTCATGCCCTCTTGAAAATTGTGTACTCGTTTTCGGCTCCAAAATTGGTCGCTCACATCCAAGTCCGTGAAATCTTGCGGTCGTTTACGGATTCTAATGAACGCCGGGGGCGTAGGTCATCAAACGACTGCGAGAGGCCCTGCCGCGCATGGACGTGTTCATCGACTGTATTTCGCTCCTCCTTGGCCTCGAAACCGAGCTGGACGAAACCCTTGCCGACTTATATTACTACTACTGCTGCATGGGGCTCGACATGCCCCACGAAAAGCTGCGGGCAGCGTGCTTGTCGATGCTGCCTCGCTTCTTGGCGTGGCAACCCTCCTTAACGCTGGACTTGATTGCCCGCGTGTCTGAGTTTAGCACGCGATACGCATGGTACGAACGAAACCTTTTCGACAGGTCGGTGATTTTTGTGGGAATCGAGAGTAGGTGGGAGGTCAAGGCACAATTGATCATCGTGGCGTCCGCAGTGCTAACACACTTGACGTCCCAGCCACCCTGTGACCAACTGGACTGTGCCCTTACAATCCTGCAGCGTGAGGTAACCCCACGAGCCCCCGTGAACCTTCGGCGCGTTGGAATCGCGTACATGGCCAAACTGCTGTGGCACTTTCAAGAGCTAGGTGCGTGGCACATCCACCTGCCTAATGATGCTCGACCGACACACGTTGGCCCTAGTGCCAACTTATGTGGATGTTCTCCGGAGTTTGCCCTTGCATATGCTCCAGGAAGTTGTGAGCATCCCGAACGAACCGTTTGTAGGGACGCTGCCCCTTCAAGGTACGCCCGCCGGTTCCTCGACAACGAAGCGAGGGGAATGCATGTGACCGATGACTGCAGGTGGATCGGGCGCGATCTACCAATTGCCCGTCGTGCGCAATGTGTGGGACTCGTCGGCAATTGCAAAACAAGTTTACTTGGACTTCAACGACACGGCGTCCGACGAAGGAGCTCACGACCATCACCACCCGCAGAGTATGACAATCCTGCAAGTTTGCTTTGACCAGATCGCACGGGACCAACCCCCCGAGCATGTGAACGAACTCTTTGCGTGGACACAATCCATGGTCGTTGCGGGACTCGAACACGACCATTCGTGCGAGATGGGGGTACGTTGGTCATCGTTGCATTCGGCCCTCGACTTGTCAACTAGGTCGCCATCCTCTCCACCGTTGCTTTCTACTCGTCGCCGTCAATCAATGTTCTAGATGGTCCTACGATGGACCAAACCCTGACTCGGATCTGCTCGAGTGGGCGCGAGGCACACGTCCGCTTGAACATTCTCGCCCAGGTACGTCACAATGGAGGCGACTTGTCCCTCACACGTTGCAGTTCCTGCATCAGTTGTACGTGAGCAACCATGCCAGCGCAGTCAAGGTGGCGCTGAACAAGCTAAAATCCAGCGTCCGCAGCTTCCACGACTCTCCGTTTGCCGCCGCTGTCCACGACCTCCTAGAAGGATAACGACGTTTATTCATGTAAGAAAGTGCACGTTGCCGGTTGCAACAACCGGTCGACACTATTCGGATACAGGGTTATATTCGGAGGATATACCGACTACTACCTCTGTTCCATATTACTGGCGACATTTGAAAATCACATTTTTTCCAAATTACTGGCGACATTTCATTCTTATTGGCTAGAAATGAAACATACATCGATTTTATTGGATAAAATTCCCGAGTTTGCTGGACAATCGGCACTTGGGATGACTGACAGCGGCTCACCGCCGTGTAGCTGCTTCGATAGCGCTGTGGATATGCGCTTCCTAGAGGAAACGCTGCGGGTTGCGATAAGAAATTAGCAATTAGTGACTAGGACTCTCAAATGTGGAGTATAGTTGAGACGCCAACCCAATCTGGCAGGTGCGTCGGACGTCGTCCAACTTCGCTCCTGTATGGTAGCAATAGTATATAAGCTACAGACTTCGAAAGTGGATGAAACGAAGCGGAGATTACTTGCGAATACGAAGTAGGTCGAAGCGGTGGAATTACTTCTATAGCGGAAGAACTGAGAGGCATCGGGGACGGACTTCGGAATGCCGCCCTTGGCTTGTGCTCAAACGGCATTTCATTCTTATCCGGATTTCCGGAAATAGACAGTCCCCATATTATAATTCCAGTAACTCACATTTTGTATTTTTATTCAGAAACAAGTTGACGAATTTGTTTTTTGGGCCGAAGATATCATTTTCGGTCGTTTTGTCCAATAGAAACTTTGTTCAGAATTCCTTGATACATCATTGGGACTTTGTTCCGTCTATTTTGACCAAAAATTCAGCTTTTGGGGTCACCGTAAAGTCAAATGTCGGCACTAATATAGAACAGAGGTAGTAGTTGTCGAACATTACGAGAGAATCATGCCACCGACGGCGGCGACCAGCAATGGTCGCGCCCCCGCTGGTTCCGCAACGACCCACACGAGCATGATTGGGATGTTTGCGATCGTCGCCACTGTCTTCATTGGGGCAGTTCAAGTCCTACTTCACTGGCTTGTCTGCAAGTTGGCTCGACGGCCCCACTACGTCCAGCTGACGCACAAGTTGACTCAAGACGTCGCGGCCGTTGGCCTGGTGTATCTCTTGGTGAAGCTCGTGGTGGCGGTAAATACTGAGCCTTCAACTCAGTATATTCTTCGCGACGCGTTCGATATGGCCGACCTTCTGTTGTTCGTTGCATCCGTGTCGATCCTGACTCAAGCAGTTGTTGTTATCCTTGTCCTCCACACAACGACCACAGAAATGGATGGTCTTGGCATTCTCTGGTCCTTTGAAGTTGTGGATGAGATTCAAGCGGCGAAAAGTCGTCGATCGTGGTGTTTCATGCGCAGCTGGTATGCTGCTCGCGTCAAGCTCAAGCTCGTGGGAGCGTACTTTCGTCACGTGTACGAGCTGCCGCCTTTGTTTGGATATTCCAAGTATGTCCGTATCGTCCAAGAGCACATGACGTCGCAGCTCTTTGACGTGGGCGCTGGTGCGTCGGTCGTGCTATTGGTGTACTTCCACGCCTTCTTCGCGGTCACGGGAGAGCTCGACGGACCATTTGCTCTTGCGTCGAGCCGCGGCATTGACATGCGATTCTTTCAGCGGTGGAATGTCTTTTTGTGCTTTTCATATCTCATCTTGATGTGCGCCGTGGCGTTGTACGCCTTGCTCGCATGGTCGTACGGACGGCTGGTCCACCACGCAAAGCTCCATGCATTGACTCCATCGTCTTCGTGCCCACCAAGTGCAAACACGACGATCTGGGATGCCATTGCCAGTTTGGCCACGAAAGAATGCACGATGGCGCAGATGGGACCCGCAGAAGCTCTCGCTAGGATGCAGCATGCTGGGGAGCGTTTGGAAGACCATATTCGCAGTTCCGCTCGATGGCGGCTGTGGTCATGGCCAAAATCTACGACTACTCGATGTGCCACTGCGTTCCAAACTGAAATCGATCACGTGGTCTTGCCAATCCCTCATTACCGAGTCTGTAGCGCCATATTGCACGTTCTGCTGCATCTCAATGGTCCTTTTTTTTTGCGTCAGCAGTGCTCCCTACACTCGTGCCTAGTACAACCTGCGAAGTCTTCGTCATGACGTTGGCTGCACTCGCCCCACTGATGATCGTGTCAGTCATGCTGGCACCACAACTCATTCGCACCCTCGCGCTGGTGCATGCGACGTGGCGCGTGGACAGCACCATGCTGTCGCGCGTGATTGCTGACGTCGTTCATGTCGAGCAAGTAAAATCAGCCATCGTAGCAGACGTAGCTGCTCATTGTCAACTCCATCGCCAGTCGCCGCACGACATGCGATTGGCGCTGGTTCCACCGTGCCACACAAATCACTCGGACGGGGCAAACGGCGGCGACCACAACGATCAATGCTACGTCGAGATCGACGCGTTTCGCCGTGTCCTCAACCAGTTTGGACATCGCATGCCGTGGTACAACATGGATCCCTTCATTCGGGCGATGGACATCCGCACACGAGGCACCTCGGTGTGTCTTGCTGACGTCCTGGCGATCTTTGATACTCAATGGCATCCCACGGCGATCAAGGTCGACGCCGTCGAGCCTACGACCACGAACAAAAGGTTGACGGCAGCCGCCAGCACCATCTACTAGAAAGTGAACACAACTACACGACGCGTTACATCTTTCATCTTAGGGCACTCTGTTGACAGCCAAGTACTAGTATACTGACGGCGCGGGAACACAACAAATCGTGGACAAACCTTCTAGGCTTCGTGCGCCTGAAGCGATCGCGTTGGCGCATGAGGATTTGCACATGGTGGTTTCAACCGCGCGACGATGGCACGATTCGATGTGAGGCTTGGGACACGTTATCATGTGGACGCACGACGCGGTCTGGTAGTCCCTTGATCGATTCATCACACAGACCTTCAAAACAGGAGAACTGCCAAAGCGTGGCGATGTGCACAACAAGCGATGGTCCAACCTCCCCCCGTCACCCTGCACATGGCATCACTTGCAGAGAGCCTCCCCCAGGTCTCCGTGTACATGGCGCGACATCCCCAAAGCAATGGGCACCTCCCCCGCGCTGGTCTCGATGAACCTCTCGGACGGCGAACGAACCACACTCAACATTGCACACTAACTTGACGATACCACCACACCAATACTTTAGAAACACATTGCTTAACCCTTGCGGCTGGCAACAACAGGACACTTGCCGGTCTTGGGGTCGGTGATCCCGTTGCCCCCGGCAATGCGCAGGCAGCGCGTCTCGGGGTAGATGGCCATGATGCTGGACGTGACTGCGATGGAGAGCGTGCCGAAGAAGACGAGGATCAAGACGGCGCCGGCCAACTTGCTGTGACCCCCCTTCCGCTTGAGCTCCTGCATCGGGCCGCGCTGAGGAGGCAGCATGAAGAGGAACGCCAACGCGGAGAGGCGGCACGCGTACGAGATGAAGAACGTGTACGTGACGTCCCACCGCACCGCGGTCGAGTCTTCGCGCAAGTCGTTCTGGGACACCTTGAAGAACGAGTTGACGTAGCGCGTGAGCATGGACCCGAACGGCGACGCCAAGTTGTTGACGGTCGTGACCAAGCCAAACGTGGCCCCTTCGTTCCCGACGTCGGCAATCTCCACGGCGCAGTACGTGGACACGACGAAGCGGATGCCGCCAGGAATGTTCTCGGACAAGGCAAACCCGGTGTAGAACCACTGGTTGCGCACAACGTCCCAGATGGTAAAGTACGTGGTGATCCCATCGAGCAGCAGCACGGACACAGTGCAGATCGCGATGACCCAGCGCCAGTTCCAGTGCAGCCCCCACTTGCCGACGACGACCATGATGCCGGCAAAGATGGCACTGCCTGCGATCCCGGCCAACGAGCTGTTGAGCGGCTCGACCCTGGCCCACGTACTCGACATGGGCGAGTCCGCCGTCGAGCTGATGTTGGTCAGCACCTGGCTGATGAAGCGGAAGGCGCAGATCTGCCACATCACGCGCTTCTGCAAGAGCGACCAGAATCCCGCCGCCCACTCCCGGAACGGCCGGGCAGGCACCTTGGTTTCTTCCAGCACGAAGATCACAGACAGCACCACGAGCACGCAAGGCACGAGGCAGATGCCGTACGGCACGTTCGGCGCCATCGAGAATGAGAACGACCCGAGGTAGTTGGGGCCGTTCAAGCCAAACCCAATCACGACCTGCGCCAGGATGCTCGCGATCGTGCGCACGGTGTAGATCCCCGTCAAGACGCGGCCGCGGATCGCATCCGGCTCGCGCTGCGAGTACTCGGTCACCATCGCGTCCGACGCACACGCGGCCGTCACATACCCCAGCGACACAAACATGGACAAGATGATGAACATCGTGCCTTGGTCCGGCGCCGCCAAGTTGAACAGCTCCTTCTCCTTGGGCGACGCACGCGAGTACACGCGGCTGCACGCCGTCGAGTTCATCGCCTTGGCCTTGATGCGGTCGCAGTACGGGTCGCCCAGCGACGAAAACGTCATGATGGACAAACAGATCATGGTCGCCGTCCACCCGATCAACATCCACGACTTGCGGCGGTAGCCAAAGATGGGAAAGCAGTCCGAGAACATCCCCATGAACGCCTTGAACGACCAGCCGAGTGTCACGAGCGAGCTGTACGCAGACGTCTGGTACCCCTCCAGGTTAAGGTACACGTTGAAGATAGGGTAGTTGAGCGACGGGATCATGCCATCATGCCGAGGATGACCCCGATGGCGGCGTAGTTGGAGAAGATGCCGAAGGCTTGTCGGGAGCAGAGGTCCAGGGCGCCGCCCGCGACGAGGGCGCCGTCTTCCAGCTCGCTCGGCGTCTTGATCGCGCTAAAGTCGCCCTCCTTGGTCTCGTGCCCGCCCTCGGGCTTGCTATACGACTGGATGTACGACACGCGCTCCTGCAGGTCCATGTTGTCGCGCACCATGCTTCCTGGTCGAGGTCTTGGTCGCTCGGCAGAATCAACTATGGATCGGCGGGAGTCGGCTCCGATTACACCGGCGTGGACACCGCTCAGCTTGTCCGTGGCCGACGGCCCCACGTGTCTATTCCTTGTGATCAGGAAATCGACCACGCCGTCGTCCTTGAACATGGTCGCACATGTCACATGACGATCTTTGTGTCGGCCAGCCACGGCCGCCTCGGGCTTTTCAGAGGGCGACGCTTCTCGTCAGAGCGATCCAGTTGCTACCTCTCTGATGCAATGTGTGTGGTCATGGTCTCTGTGAGGAGGCGA